CATTTGTGCTGTCTTCTGCCAGTGTAAACCAAGATGCGCAGCTTGTGGTGGGGAGGAGGAAGTTTCGTTGTAAAGGCCTGGCAGTCTGAAAAGTGACACAGCTGTAGTGGACCAGTGCAACAGGGAAGTGGAGGACAGAATACTGGGGGATAAAAAGGGCTATACAGAGCATTGTATCGTACTCAGTGCTGGCTGGTGTGTGTGTGTGTGTGTGACTTCCCTGCACCTTTAAGCGGGGGGGTGTTTGGCTGGCTGGCCAAAAGAAGGGAACAGTGCTTTATGGCTGGTGGGGAGGGGGAGAGGAGAGGAGAGGAGTAGGGGGGTGAAAACTGCTGCAAAAAGGGTCTGCGTGCTCTAGGGTGAACAGATAGCAAGTGTGAAAAATTGGGACGGGGGTGAGGGATAATAGGCACCTATATAAGAAAAAGCCCCAAATATTGGGAGTGTCCCTATAAAATCGGGACCTCTGGTCACCCTAGCGTGGTCACTGACTTATCCCCTGGGAATGCAGGATTTAAAAGTGGTGGATCTGCGCATGAAGCCTCCCATCTTACACAGACCAGACCTGAAGCAGCACCTACCCTCCCTCCCCTTTTAGATGGTAAAATACCAGGTTTGGTTAACACCTACTGTGGGCATTATGCTAGCCGTCCCTTGTTTGGGGGGGCTGGGAAGGAATTTTGCCCTTACCACCATATTGGCTTGGGTGCAGTTGGGGTTTTCTTCGCCTTCCCCACAGCAGGTTCAGGTGGGTTCTGTTCATGCATGGCATGACGGGCGGTAGACCATATGTCGCAATTCATTATTTAAATGTAGGGCAGATGTCCCACGTAGGTACTCCATAGGAAAGGTATACAATGACCGGATAAATGACTTGGAAAAGGACTTAAAAAGAGGTGTTCATTAAAGGAACGAAAGAGGGGGTGGTTGGGGACTCCTATGATTGGCATGGCAGGGAGCCAACCCCCAATTCTTATAGCCCACCTTAACCCTCCTATGGGGTGGGGGTGGATGGTAAGGTCCCAGCAATGGATTTGCTGGAGAGGAAAAGAGGGGGAGCTGTAAAATCCCCCTGGGTAATTATGGAATAAACAGGGGGTTACCTGAACTGTACACTTTTATCTGCTGGTTAGTCCCAGACATCTAATAATAAAGTTGCAGCCTGATTAAACCCATGTCAGATGTCTCCTGTCCTTCTTTTGGCATAGCCAGACAATAAGCAGAGCAGTTAGAGATGTACTGATTCTATGTATGCTTGGCAGTCTGCTGGCAAGGTTACTATGGAGCTCCTGGAAGAAAGTAAAGCTGCCCTTTCCCAGCATAGTTCCTGGAGTAGACCAACAATGGTAAAAACACCTGTCCTCCCTCCTTCTCCCCACCTCCACCTCTAAGAATCAATCCCACACCTCAGGCTTTAGCTGGTTTCTCTGGTTAAATTTGCATCTCTCTGTGCCAGCTGGGGTGAATCTAGCCCACAGTGTGCCAATATACATTTCATTGTTCTTGGACTCTTATTTCTAGTCTAACCACTTGTCATCTGAGGGAAACAATATAAATAATTAGGGTTACCTTTCTGTATCATAATATTCCAGACAGCTGAGCAAAAAGACTCTGCTCTATACTATCCATGGAATGGACTCACCTCCTTGAGAGAGTAATTGTCTATGATAAGCCTACATGGAAGCAAGAGAGCTTTGTCCCACTGAGTCTTTCCAGAGACCATTTTCCTTTCATAAGGGTCAGCCCTGCATGGTGTTGAGTAGTGCTGGCTGGAAAACAATTCCATTTTGCAAAAATATTTGAAATTTGGTTTTGTTCTGATGTGGAACAAAACCAAGACCTTTCAAAATTTTTGTGAAAAAATTAGTGCGCCTGTAGCCAATGTCCCAATGGTTAGGGTGATCATCTGGCATGTGGGAGACTCCGGTTCAAATCCCTACATTGCCTCATTTGTTTTGGTTTGAACACAATGGTAATTTTCAACAGAAAAAAAGTTTTGCCAAAAAATTTTGGACCAGCTCTAGTGCTGCTTGCCTTCAACTCCCATTGACTTCAAATGGAGTTAAGCCCACTCAGCACCTTAAAGGGTGATGCCCATTATTCCCCTCTCACACCTTTTGAGCAGTTGCGTGTATAGTGAGTCTTGAGCTAGGGAAACACAGTACATTTATTGGAAGGCTGCCATAAATAGCTTCCCTCATGTTGGCATAATATAGCACACTGTGCTTTCTGGTTCCAACCGGAAGACACAACCTCCATGTTAGGCTTCACCAGCAAGAAGAGCTGCCATACCACCGCATGGGCCAGCTTCATTGTTTCCTATTTTTTAGTTTGATAGTAGATTTTGATTGTATCGGCTCTGGCTGGTGATTATGCTTTGCTTTGTTAAAATAAGTAGCTTAACTCTTGAATCTTAATCAAACCCTGTTTGTTGTTTTCTTGTTGTGATCCCTGTTGATTTTTTTCCTCCTCTGAAACCAGCAAAGAGATAGTGGTTTGTTTCAGTTTGTGAAACTCATAATTTTTTCCAGACTTTCCATTTCACGCTGTTTGAATTTTATTAAGATCTCTTTACACAGGAGCTGAATGTCAGCTATATGATGCCCTAAGGTAACCAAAATGTTGCTTTAATGCCTCAAATCTCTTGAGACATTTCGTTTGTACCAGAAGCTTCTTGGAGACCTGTGGCTAAATACATAAAATATTTTCAATGTTTCCAGAAAGACTTCTGTCTCAGGTGGAATTTAATACAAATATTTTTATTTTTACCTTCAAATTGAATTAATGCCAAGCTTGCTAATAACCCTCTACTGCTCCTTATTGAAACAGATTGAATCTCGTTTGGTTAGTTGGTTTTTGTTTTGAAAGTGTGGTGATACAGTATATTATAGTGAGATTGGATTTTCTAAAGAGTGTGATTCTTTATTTTCTTTTTTCTATTCAACTGCACATCTCTATTGACTGTTAGCAAATATTTGCACCAAAAATATTTTCTCCACACTTCTCCTCCCCTCTCCCCCCGCCCACCCCCAATCCCTTGAAACAATTTTTGGAGATTGATCTTGACTGTTCTTGTACACCTTCCAGGAAAAACTGCTGAATTATGCCTGATGCTCACCTGATGTTTTATGTTAAGATCAGTCTTGATATCATCTGAACAGTTTAAGCCTCTTCATAAATATTGAATACAATAATCCAGTACAGGAATAAGATTAAGGACTGCAGGAAGTATTACTAATATTAAAGCTGGTCAAAATTTTTCAAAATTCAAAATTTCAATTTGTGTCAAAATTTTGACAAAAAAGGATAAAAATTATATGAAAGTTACATTAAAGTTAGTCATAAAAAACAGTGTAACTTTCATATAATTTGAATCCTTTTTCGTCAAATTTTGACACAAAATTCCTTGACCTTTTGAATTTTGAAAAATTTTGACCAGCTTTGATCTATATGCGTAGTCTGGGAGGGGGATTTATTCATGGGTGTTTATTAAAGCAGGGTAAGTAAGCTCATTATGTAGAATTAGAATTTTTTTGTATTAATGTAAAAGCAACTTTTAAGATTTTTATAAGAAACATAAATAAATAAAACTGTAGGAACTTTTAAAAGGCCAAGATTTTAAAAAGTGACTAGTGATTTTTCATTGCTAGATGTGAAGCACTGGAAAAGGCAGCTGAGATTCAGAAGGTGGGTGAAAAATTAGGCCCCTTTATGAAAAATTAGGCCCCTTAAAGGTATCTCAAGTGGGTCATCAAAAAACGGAGACACACCAAAATCACTAGTCACTTTTCAAAATCTTTGTCTTGTAAATTTAACAGAAATTATTGAGCAGTTGAAAAATTGTGTTTACTAATGGCCCAGGAAATCAAATATTTTCCTATGTCAAATCATACTAAAACTCTTGATTGTTAATACTGAACCAAATTAATAAACCGATTTCAACTCAGCCTCTAAAATTGCACACACAATTATTTGTGTGCTGATTTTTGCATGCCCAAACCACTTAGTAGGCTGACTATTCAAATTATCTGAGCAAATTCCATTTACATGCATAAATGTAGATTTTATGGGGCCACACGCAATATTGCAGGGTGTCGTTTTGGAAACTGGGGCCCTAAATGTCTCCTTCACAAAGTTCTTCCTCTTGAACCAATATTCACTTTAACTGCCTGCCCTTGAAGGTTTATTCACATTTAAAAATCTTTCCCAGTTCAGTTATTCATCTTATCTACCTCTCTTCTTCCTCCATATATTGTCGTGGGAAAGTCCTGAGAGTACTTACTTTTCACAAAGGAAGAAAAGATTATTTTTATTTATATTGTAATTTGCATTATTTTAATCTACTTGTATAATACAAATAAAGTTCGTAGTACGGAATGTATTCATACTGACTGGCTTCTGTAATCATCAGATGAGTTGTAGAAACTGCCTAATGGAAATGTACTCCAACAGTATGAATATTATCTCTTAATCCCTTTAATGCTCGCTCTCAATACAACCTCTTTCCAGTGATAGACCACAATGGCATTTTTGAAGTGCCAATGTTCTGTTAAAATATCAGCACAGTGAGGCACGATGTACCTTGTACATTTGGCAGTAATGAAGTGGTTAAGGGACTTAAATTTAATTACCTAGTCACCAGTACAGGCATCTGAAACAAAGCCATAAATAGTTGACTGCATTACTAAAGGTTTCTTATTTTATTATAAAGACTCCTCTCATTCAGTTCAGATTATTTTGGCTGGATGACTAAAATTGAATCGAAAGGCTACATTCACAAAGTTCTGCACACACATATCTCTCAGAATACATTTCTTTGCTAGTAGAAGTAACCATGCAGAGGTTCAAAATGCCACAAATTTACCTATGAAAATTGAGAAGTCATTTCCAACAGCAGGGTGAGCACATGAATTATAGAGGTCAGCGCATTAATTTTTAACTGTTATAAAACAAGTACTCACTTTTTTTTCATTCCTCCCACTCCCTAAATCTTATCCCAGGATGTGTGACACAGGAGAAGGACTGTTCACCTTTCAGACAAGGGAAGGAGAGATGATCTATCAGAAAGTCCATTCTGCAACACTGGCAATAGCTGAGCAACATGAAAGACTAATGATGGAGATGCAGCAAAAGGCACGGGTAAGATCTTACCTCCCGTATTTTAAAAACTTCCATTGGTGAAGTGAAGGGTTATGATGATTGCAGAGTACAGCTCCAGCTAGTTATGCCATAACTGTGTGATTTAAAAAAAAAACGGTCCCAACAACTTTGATTTTTTTTTAAAGATGATAATACACAAAATAAAGAAATAATCCATCAGGCTGGATGGAGCAAATTCAAAGAGTGCATGAAAAAAGAAACAGAAGGTAATTTTCAACTACATCCTGGAATTTTGGGATGATGGTTTGCATAGTCCTACCTCCTTCTTTGTATGTGTGACAAAGCATGCAGCAGCACACTACACATATTGGAATTTGGAGAGCAGAGATCCGGGGAAGCCAGAGAGAAGGGAATTGCAACACTTACAGTGAGAAATGATGGCTAAGGATTTATGGGCAGGAATCTAAATAAAAAATATTGTAGAACTGGAGACAGGAAGATTTACTGATATAGGAAAGGTGAGAAGAAGAGAGTTCAAAATCAAGGTTAAAATGAAGTTGAAGACAAGCAGAAGGTCCAAGCCAAAAACGGCAAAGAGCAAATGGAACTGTGTTTAGTGATGTTCCAGTTGCCCAAAACACTTACTACTCTACAGAATATCTTAGTTCTATTGGTTATAGCATTGCCACCTTTCTAATTGTGGTAATAAGACCCCTCAGGCCCTACCCTCTGCTCTGCCTCTTCCCAGCCCCCATTGCTTGCTGGATCATCTCCACCTCCCTCCCCCTACCCAGCTGGACTCCCTCTGCTCTGGAACTGGGACGGGAGCTGCTGCAGCCAGACAAGGAGCCTCCCTGCAGATAGGAGGTGGCCCCAGTTGAGCAGGGACTAATGTGGGTTAATGACCTGGCGCCTTCCTCCCACCCCGCTTTAACCAGGTTTGTGGTCAGTACATCTGATCAGACACTGCCAGGTTCCCTTTTTAGATCGGACTTTCTGGATGAAAACCAGGCACCTGGCAACCCTAAATGCAACGGTTCCCAAACTTTTGAGGGCCACGCTGCCCCCTTATCCGTGTCCCTGCCACCTCCTGCCCCACCCCCAGAGCTGGGTACTGCTGGGCAGGGGCACACACACAGGGGTAAGGGGACAGAGTCTGTGGACCGATCCGCTGTCAGGGGCGGAGCCGCAACCAGGCCACAGTGTGGGTCGACATCCAGGCCCACAGCCTGGTGCGGCTCCACTCCCGGCCCCACCCTGCCCACAGCCTCAGTCCTGGCCAGAGCAGAGCCACAGCCAGGCTGTGGTGGGGGTCGGCAGCCGGGCTCCCATCCAGGTGTGGAGCCACGCTGAGGCTGTGGATGAGGCCAGTCGCATGCTGGGAGCCGGCGCCATGGCTGGGGTGGGAGCAGAGCTGGGGCAAGGGGTGGCACTACCTCCCTGCCCCCCATGGGGGCTGGCCTGGACCCTCTGTGCCCCCCCCAACAGTCCCACCATGCCCCCCTGCCCCACAATTTGGGGACCATTACCTAAATGGCACCTGGACACAGAAGGCAAAAACCAGACTGTCCAGATAAAACCCAGGTGGGTGGTACCCCTAATTAGGTACATAATAAAGCAGCTTTTTTACAGAAGTGATTGAATATTAGAGATGGTGTCATAGGACTCTGTGCTCACCACTGGATGGCAGCCTCTTTGGGCAATCCTGGAGATTAGCTCTGCCCAGTTCACCACCCCCTTTCTTCTTTCTACAATCTGCAGCTCTCCTCCTGCTCACAGAGTCACAGCATGGCTGCATCATGACTCTGGCCTCTGACCAGATCACACTTTGATTCCCCTTTGGGGGTGGGGGAAGTGTCCTTCAAAGTCTTTCTGCTCAAACAGTGTCAGGTAGTCCTCACACCTGCCTCCGTGACCCTGGCAGTCTTCTAGTTCACTACCCCAAGCAGTACCACTCTGCAGTATTTGCTAGTGCAACCAAGGCTCACCCTCTACTCTGTGTTCCAGTTCAAGACCCTATAGTAAGTGGTTATGGTCTGTGACTACACCAATGGCCCCCAGACTCCTCCGGGGGGCATGGAATCAAGGAGTCATAACTGGCTGCTTGATAGCCACCCCCCAAAGCAAAATGGAACTTTGATGCAGGAGGAATTGAACCCTGTATGTCTACTGTTTTGGGGGCATTTCAATGAGAATAGCTACAGTTTGCTTTATTTACTTATTTATTCATGGGACTTATTTTTCAGGACTTCCCACCTGCTCTCCAGCAGCTTTACTGTTTACTGAAATTGTTTTGGCTCTGCCATTAGATGACTGTTTTAAAAACATCTCTTATGGTGCTTCTGACCATATGGCGAATAACATTAAATTCTTAGAGCAGACTGAGAAATATCCACCCAATGTCCTTTATACTTGTGTCTCTGGGATGTAAACTTGATGGTGACCTCCAAAGGGGGCAAAATAGCCTTGTGAACTGTTTTACTGCTTTACGGTTTATAAAAAAGGCCTGAAAGTTTGTTGATGTATATTAATACTCAGTAAGTCCAGTGTTACCTGATTTTACTGGAGCATTTACTGGAGGTCTCATATATATGAGAAGCTCCATCAGACTGTAACTGAAGAGGCATGAAATCTTTAACAAAAATAGTTTTCCCTTTAGTTAGATTGCATTGCATCACATCTCCAATATTGTAATCCTACCATTGCTCCAGATGGCCCCTTTGTTCTTAGCAGACAAGTTGTGAATGTATAGTGCAAGAAAGCAAACAAAAATATGTTTTAAATCTAGGATTAAGAGGCCAAAAATGTATTTTAAATTCTGCCTTCAAGTTCCCACTTTGGTCTTGTTCCCATAGCCTTTACTAGTTAACTTTTCCTTTTTTTCTGATTCTTTTTATCTTGAACTGTGTCCAATTAATATTGTATTAGATAGGGATTTTGCATTTAATTTTTATGAAACTGAAAGTGAAGGAAACAAAACACAAAAACTGAAGTTTAATAATATGTACATTATTATATAAACCAGGAAATTAAAGATGTGAGGCTAATTCCATCCATACTCCTTCCTTCCAGTCTCAGTAATGAATGAATGAAAGAAGGGACTGTCTGTAATAGCTTTGATTTTTTTGTACGCTACATCCTGAACATTGTAGCATTTTTAATACTTAATGCTCTAATGCTATGTTTAAATTCCTTCAGATTAAAATTGTTATAATCCAATACTGTAAAAGATTAATGGAATTTATAAAGGAAATGATTGCGAAGCTTTAACCATAGCAACCCTGGTGAGGTATATAGATTATATACTCCATTATGAGAACTAAAAGCAAAGTGGGTTACTTTAACATTCATAGAATACCAAATTCTGTCAATAAAGAAAAGGCAAGATTAATTTTTCCTGCAAGAGGTCTGTCAAATAAGGGTATTGCTAATAGCTAGTAGCAAAACTTACTCAACATTTGGGGAATTATGGAAACAAAAAGCCTTATTTTATCTCAGTATAATAAGCAATAAACTAATTTCTCTGCTAAGAAACCTACTGCTGAACAGTAACACTAACGGTGTTGTGTGCTGGAAAATTCTGTGGGTTGCAATGGATGGGAAAAAAAATGAATCCTTCCCAATACCCTCCAAAAGGCATGAAATGGCAGCAAAGCTTCTCCATAGCAGCCACTGCAGTATCAGGGATGCAATTGCTCTGGTGTCTCGTATACCCTTCCATCACCACGATGGAAAAGAATGGCAAGTAGATACATGTAGTCACAGACACATACACTTGGTGCCTTGCCAAATTCCCCTCCACGCTGTGGCATTGGGAGACCTCCTGGAACAAGAGTTAAGGCACCCTGCTCAATTGACCACACTGCTTCTGCTGCAGTCAGAAACTTACCCAGCCATGGGAGGCATGGATCGTGTTTTCCCCAAAGTTAATGCCAAGAAAAAACAGACATGCCAAATTTTACACTGTCATGCACTTTCTGCAAAGTGACTATGAAATATTACCAGATCCCCGCAGCAGCATTTTACACTCCCTTTGAACAGGTCTAAATGACTCCACAGGGTACAGGGCACTGGACAATTGTGCTTGATGTTGGAAGTACCTTACTGACAGAACATAAAAGCTGTTTTCTAGTGTTGCAAAACTTTTCTTTTCTTTTCTTTTCTTTTTTGCTTTTTGACAAAAATAGAGTGACAGAATCACTGTATTTCTGAGTATTATGTTTTGCTGGTGTTTTATTTTCACAAAAATATTTAAAATAATGTGTTTATTGTTTAATAACATTTAAAATTAAATAAAACAATGACTGGTTTCTATTAAAGGCTTTTTTGTGCCATTATGTTATCTATATTAGCTTATTTCTATCTTTGGTTTTATCATTAGTAAGTTGTACGTGTAACTATTTGTGCAAGATGAAAAGATGTTATTGGCTTCCAGGGTACTTTTTGTTTTAATATTTGTCTCTTACTATTTTTGGTACATCTGGTGCTTGTAAATGTTGAGAGAATGATTGAAATCCTCTGTGTATCAAAAGAAAAGCAACAGCACTAGTGCAAGTTTCACCATACTGCTACACAGGTAAAGCCTCCTAGTATAGACACAGGGTATACTGGCAAAGGGGTGCTTTGGGTGGTATAGCTTATACCGGTTCCCCAAACAAAATAAACTGCACTGACAAAAGCACTTTTTTGCTGGTATAACTGCATCTATCCTAAGGCTTTGGTCAGTATAAAAATATTGTAAAACGACAATCACACCTTAACCAACATTACTATATTGGCAAAAGTTTTAGCTGTAGACCTCGTCTCTAGGGATGAGAGAATATTTCACTCTCTATGCCCATTCAATCCTTTGCATCTCTCTTTTTACAATCAATAAGGATGACAACTATTGCCAGTTCTACTGGTAATTATAAAAGAAATTCAGAGATTATCAAAGCATGTGAACGCAGTTGTTCCTAATGATCCTTATGTGTCTAATCTCTATGCACCAGTAAAAATTTCGCACAAGTCTTTCAAGTGGGACTCTTAGGCCTGATTCT